CAGGTCAAAATTACGATCTGTGGAGGAACGTATGGAACTATGAATATGTCCGTCGTATAAGCGAGTGTGACGTATGGGTAGTGAAGAAGTCTAATTCTTGGCTATAGATGGCGCCACTGGAAAACAAGAACAATCGCAGACCGTCTGCCTTAATTTCTGAAGAAAAACATCGAAATCTACATTTGAATAAATATCATTCAGGAATAACAAGGTCTTCAAATAGCAACAATAAAAATTGTTTTTATAAATGCCCTCTTAAATTTAAGTTATAAAATTTAAAGTGAGTACTTTGACAATTAATATTGTATTTTATTAATAAATATTTTTCTGTGAAATACCTAGGAAAAAATTACCTCTTGTGTAATTTTGCATTCTATCTAAAGAATAGGTATTTTGTTTTTAAAAAAAAGGCTACAACTGAAATCCAACTTTTTGTAAAACTATTGCAAGCAATTTTTATGAAGTTCTAAGTCAAAATATTGAAATGAATGTTTTGAAAATCTAATGTCCAGAATTTTCCGTAAGAATCAATCAACTTTTTTGAAAACAAATTTTGGGTAATCCATCGAAAAGTTTCTTCAGCTTGATTTCATTCTAATCTTATCTAATCCGAAAGTATTTCGAAGTATCGTTCAGGTATGAAATTGAAGGACGGGATGAAAAATTTAACCTTCGAGAAAGTTTTCTCGAAAGCAATCTTTCTTTAAACCTCAAAAATCATATATTTCACTTTAAAAAAGTATGTAAGCCACGTTTTAAGAATGAAAGGAATAAAAAGCTGAAGAAGATAAAGTTCGATTTTCTCAAATGGCTTTTTTATGTTCTACAATTGCGGTTTTTAAATAATATAAAAATAGAACAGAATTAATACATTATTTATATACACACTGTTAGAAAGTAGTCGAAAAAATGATCAAGTAGCTATTAATTTAATTGTTTTCTCATCATATTCCACCAAAACAGACAAGTAACTATTGAAAAATCGTATTCAAACTGTTAACTGTGAGAAAGATTCTTATTTTTTTTACTGTTTCCACCTTATATAGTTAAACAAATAGAATTTTAACCTCAATAATTAAATTGACAGCCAGTTAGTATTGAGCGTACGTTTATAGTACTCTGGATGCTAAGCCATGGGATAAAGGTTATGAATTCTGTGTATGTAAAAACGTTATTATATATTAAACAACGTAAATTTTAATTATCTAAGCTCAGATTCGTATGACTTCCGTTTGTACATTCATTTTATTATTTATATTTTATTATTTATATTTTATTTCATTTTTTTTATATGCGGCGCAAAATATGTTTCATGATAGTAAAAAAATTACGATATTCATGTCATTTTTTTGAACATACATTTTGATTCATTTTTAAAATTATAAAATTCGATTTCTTTTTACTTATTTGTGCGTTATGCACTCCCGGAAATAAAACTTTCACCTTTGATGATTCATCAATCCTTGAGCAGTATTTCGTTAATTTTGAGAATCATGTCGTTACGAAATTACGTGATTTGAGACGAAACGCGAACAAATATATGACGAAAGCAACACGAAACCCCATCGTAGTGCATTGTGGGAGATTGAACAAGGAAAATTAGACGGTCGAAAATCAAGTAACGAATTACGCCGACCGGTTGCATGGTGGGCAAGGAGTTGACCTTTTACTAGCAAGATCCGGAATTCGAATCCCGCTTCAAGCATAGGTGCAATTTATCTTTTTAATCAATCTGTCCTTGTTGCGTTGTGCTTCCTATATGGTGCCTAAGGTAAAGTAGTTATTAGAAAAGCTAGATTTTTAGTTAATTAATAAGAAGTAGTTAAAAAGTAATAGTTTTCAGTTTATTTAAAGTTAGATAGAACACAACGAGAATATTTTTTTAATAGAATGGCCAAATATTTTTTTTAATTTTGACGACATTCATTTACTTAAAGAAGTGACCATATTTATATCGCCACTTTGATGAAATTTTTGCTCGTAGCATATACCAGGAAACGGTTTCGTCAAAAACAAAGAAAGTTTCGCGATATTTAAGTATCCATTTTTTACCATGTGTGTCAAAAATAAAAAGTCTGTGGGGAGAGTAGATATCGACAATGTCAACCTTCATCTATGAAAGGGTACCCCAGCATAGAATCGAGTTAACATGTCTTATATACTAAGGTATTAGAATTGTCTTTTTGTATTAGTAGATAGCACTACAGTACTCCTCCACCAGAATTATATCTATGATAGAATTCTACTAGTTGATTCATTGCAGTTTTGAGAGAAGACCGGAGAGCTGTATTAAGATCACCATACTTGTGCTGATAATGAGATAGTGGCTGCTCCTGTGTTGCCATTAGCAATCGAGTGTATGCAGGCTGACGTTGTGTGTGATCCAGACGAGACTGAGTAGCAACAGTGCGAGGAGGTGAATAATGTCGCAGTCACAAGTAGCAAGTCAACTGTTAAATGTGGACCATCCATCGAAGTAGGCGTAACTGTCAAGATAGGAGTGTTCATACCGAAGTGGGCGTTTCTGTCAATGTAGGCATGTTCACATCACGTCCGGGTCACCAATGTGGGGAGAGTAGATATCGACAATGTCAACCTTCCTCTATGAAAAGGTACTCCAACATAGAATCGAGTTAACATGTGTTATATACTAAGGTATTAGAATTGTATTTTTGTAGTAGTAGATACACTACAAGTCTGTGTGTCGCAAAAGAAAAAGACAAACATTTCTTATCGAATTTATTTCAAACATAATATTTATATATACGAGTTGAAATATAATCACAGGTAAAATACTAATTATAGACAATCATATATCTATCAGAGCTACATATTTTCATCAAAGTTCCATGTATAAAAATAAGAAAACTCATGTATCCAGTATTCAGCTATGACTTTTGATGATCATTGAAAAATCATCACTGTCAGTTAATGGAATTCGATTGGACGCTCTCCGTTATTTTTTATCAGTTTGATACACTGAATCATCCAGTCCTTTAAATCTCAAGAAGAGTTAAATAGATTAATTGTATCGTAAAAACTTCTACTTTTCTAAAGATCCTAGATAATCTTAAACTATATTAATTGGATTGATTATATTATTTTTTTTTAAATTAAGATAATTTCAATTTAGATTACATTTGGATTTTCTAATTATTAAAAATTAATAAAGAATAAATTTTAAATAATTAAAATGGACACTTATGAACATATTTTACCACATCAATAAAGTACGGATCTAGATATAAAAGTATTTAAAAAATTCCGTAAAAAGCATGATGATATTTAAACTATTTATACATTAATCATACAATAAGTGTGATTTAATTTAATATTTTTATTAAATTTAATGCATTAACAAGTCGCAAATTATTTACAATAATTTGTACATTTTTATTAAATACGGTGAAATTAATTGGAAAATTACTAAAAGAATTTCCACCAACATTTTTGTCGCATGTAAAAGAATAAATGAAATTGCAAAATCTAACGATATACGATCTTGAAAGCACGATATGAGCCCTTGATACTTTTGTTTGTGACTATCGCGATAGTAACGAAGTTGTTAATTTTTTTAGGTGAAGGTTGTGCTTTCGTTTTACTGTATATTTGAACAAAAATTAGCTTGGTGATTAGTTTTAACTATTACCCCCCTAACTACTTCAAAAAATCAGAAAACCTATCATTGTCAGTTCTAACTTATTATATGCTTGACAGCAACAGCGCAAAATGCCTAAAAAAAAAACACGATCAAAATATTGCGATTTTTTTAAATATTCGCAATGACTAAACTAACAACTGCAATAACTAATACAGCAATTAAATTCAAGCAAATTAATTAATAAAGATAAACTAATTGAACGAAAAGCTACTTTCCAGTCATAGTTAATAAGTTCGAATAAAAATATTTAACATAAAATTAAAGTGTCTCGTANAAGAATTGTTTTTTTTTAAAAAAAAAACTCTTTTTATCAATAGACTAGTTTTAAAAAATAATAATAAGCTTGATTATTAATATACATGGATGATTTCTGTAGTCATCGCACTTATATAGAATTTTCAGAATCCTTTTAAGACTGATATCATTGGTATATTATACACTAGAATTCAAAAATTAACAAAGGAAGAAATGGAAGATGGAAGAACAGAGGAAATATGGTTGAACATAGAAAATATGGGAGCGTTTCCAAGAAACGTCTTTCAACTTTTTCCTGTTTCCTCCTTCAATCAATTAAGTTGTGATGTTTTTAGTCCCATCTTCCTCTATAGTGATTCCTTAGATTTCAAAAGTGATTTTATAGTGAGTTTTTAGAGTTTCCCCCTTCCTTTATTTCTTTTTTGAATTCTAATGTACACATCTTTTTGATTTTAATAGTATTTTTTACTACTCTTAAATATTGATTTACATATCCCAATGTGTGAAATTTTACATCTTTTTTGACAATGATTTTGAAGATAAGCATTGAGCATGGTACAAAGCTTATTTTAGTAATAGCAGAAATTCTAAATGAATCATGAAATTACCTTTTTCCTTAAGCCTCAAATATTATGAAATTTTAACGAGTTTCTTAAAAATAGTTTTTAAGAAATATTATCTCAACACATCTTGATTTGTTCAGTTAAAAAAAACACACCCTGGAAGTCCCAAAAATGGGTTAAAAGTACATGTTAATTTCCATATCATATACCAAGTATATTACACAAAATTGATTTGTGTGATGTAATTGGAGGAAGCATGACACAAAGTGTAATGTTGCACAAAACAGGGTGAAAAGGGAAATGCATCCTCATGTCCATTGCTCAGCTCAGCAACTAAAAAGGGGACATATTTTGAAATGACGGGGAATCAACTAAACTGTACTAGAGTAGTTCAATTACAGTAAAGCTAATTATAAAGCATCTTTACTGAAGCAAATTTTGATGAAAATTTCCTAATGATGTGAATTCTCTGACAATATATTTCCGGAGCAGCAAAATCTGTGATATTTTTTCTGAACAGCGAGCTTTGCGATAATGGACTCGGGCAAATTTTCTTTACTAGGGCGAACCCCAATCGACTTTCAAAAGATGTTACAAACTTTAATATATGACAACTTATCTGATCTTCATGACATCACTTGTTAGTTTGTTTGTAAATTTTGTCATAAATTTTAGAGGAAACTCTAAATTCTGCTGCTTGAAAAAATTACAGCATAATAAAAAGCATAAGCGTGTTAGCGATGTTATAGTCAAAAAGTTTAAAGTCATATTATTCGAATTTTGTTTCATTAGTAACTGAAACAATATATTTTTTCATTAGTAACATTAATGAGTTGGAACAAGCGAATAATAACCATTTTTTTAACTGGAATACTGGGATAAACATTTACTAGAAATACAACAGTAAAGAAAAATATTTAATTGTAAAAATTACATATATTATTCTGCAAATGAGAAAAAAAACATGGTAGTTAAGTCAAATTTACAACATATGAACTATTTTTTTTACATTCAAATTCAATAAATAAATCCAATTTTTTAATTAATTTTCTAAAGGAAAAAAATCTTTTTTTATATTGTCAAAAAATTAAAAATTTAATTATTTTTGATTAAATGTTCATATTACAATCTAAGCAATACCCAATGAAACGGAACTAAGTTTGTTTTATACGTTAATTAGTATATTAATTCTTTCGGAATATCTTTGCAATAGTATGTCAAACATTTTTTTTAATATTATATCTAGAATATATTAATTTTTAAATATTACTCTAACTTTATTTCTATATTTAAAGGTAGTTTTGAGTTACATTAGAATAAATTTCTTTAAAAAATATATTTATTAAGACTATTAATTTTATCTACTCTACTGTTTTTGCATAATTTTGGTAAACTTTAATCTTCCAGTATTAGCCAAGGATTATTTAGTTCTTCTCATTATCATGATATCTCGTTCATCTACTATTTGAAAGTCAACGTATTATGTAATTTTAAACTATTTATGCAGTCTTATTTAAATGTTAAGCTACTAACTAATCAGAAATATTGAAATTGTTTTTATTATCACTCTAAAATCATCAACGTCTTACATTATGACAAAATAAATGCCAAAACATCTTTTATACCAAGTATATATATGTGATATATATACATGTAAATGCATTTTGCAATGTTATTTTTAAATTTTTGCAGTTTAAATGTGTCTTAATGTTTTACTTGTTAGATTAATTAATCAAACAACCAATCTATTTTCTTTTATTAAACTAGAGTTATCCCAGCTCTATTTCACTGATTTTTTATGTCTATCACATAACAATTTTTTTATACTAGGTTTAGTTACACTTTTTTGCAAGCAAATTTAAGGCAATCAAATTTTTTAAACACCTATTTTTATTGATTTATTGTAAATTGGTGAATTGCTTATGGTTTATCATAAAAAATTATAGTTTCTTTTGAAATAATATAAAATGAACAAGTATTTGTCTAAAATCAAGTTTCGTATGTTTATACAGAATGTATTTCTGCCTTCTTATTGCATAATACCATGTACATAACTCTACGGAGTAAGGTAATAAAATATTTAAACAATTTATTTATAAATAATGAGTACATTTAAATAATAATATCAAGATTTGTGAATAACCAAGAATTTTTTTAGTAATAAAGGTTTCAAAGTATAATATAGAGACAAATAGAAAGAAATTATTGAATCCTATTCAAAAACGCTTAGTTAACATATCTTAAAATTCTAAACAAAGTTTGCTGTATTTATTCCATTTTCATAGTCTCTCGGAGCGTAACTATTGACCAATATCCAATATTGGATATTCTAAGCATATTCTTCCTTTTCAATTAAATAATATACACAGTGTAAAGAAAACGAATGGCCACAACTGACAGAGATTATAAAATATGTCAACTGTCACCGTACAATGGGGATCGGAATGCAAAAGGAAGACTGCACTGTGAAAAATAAACTCAAAGATTCTCTATTATTGAAAACTTCACAACAATTCCTCGTTTGAGATGTAACCATCATAATCCAATATTGGCTTTAAATTGGAGGTGGAGGGTACTGAACAAACGTAACCCGTTATAAAGTACTATGTAAATGTGTCATCTTTCGGAATATACCAAAAAAATGTTTCACTATGCGAAAGGTAATATAAACACGTTACGACATGCAGAGTGTGCTATGAAAATGTTTCCCCATTCGGAAGGTACTATGTAAACATGTTACCGTGTGAAGGATACTATGTAAACGTGTCATGCCATGCGTTACTGTGAAAATATTTCACCATTCGGAAAGTACTATGAAAACGTTTCACCTTGCAGGGAGTACTATGTGAATTTTCACAGATTATTTGTATGTCATTCACGTCTGAAACTATGACGTTAACTCATGTGGCATCCTTTGTTTATTCGATGTATATCGAGTAATCTAAGCCTTTTTTGACATCGCTGGAAAAGAAATATCTAGGCGTAACAGATCAGGGCCGCCAAAAGAAGGACCAAACATAGTCAATGCTTTTCTTTATGAAAGTAGCGTCTGGAAAAAATATTAAGGTCTTTAAGTTATGTTCTGTTGCTAACGTCACTCTAGAGTTACACTTATGGGTTAATGAAGACGGTTTAAGAATAAAATTTAATACCTTAAGGACCATGCTAGCTCGGGCAGAATTTCACGGTTCGTACAAGTGGTAAAAAAGTGGTATAAATTATTTCCTGAAGAAACCAGGAGCTTCTGAGAATTCGATTTCAATGTTGAGTTAAAATCTCATCCTCTGACTTCAGATCTAGATAAACTTATTAAGATAATAACTATAATTTACCTCCTAAGAAGCAATTTTTCATCTTAATATTGCTGCTACGTTTTATTTGTTACGATCTCTCAGTCTTACTTGCTCGGTAAGAATTTCCACGTTAACGTGGAAATGGTTCTTTATTGGGTCAATAATGATCTGAAACTACTTCTAACGCATCTGTACATCATAATTTATATCAGAAAACAGATGGTAAAAGCAATGACCCGGCCTACTCACCCCGCTCCACAATCGCATTATAGAAATGAAACATTAAACCGATCTTTGATTTAACTTCCCCACATTGTACGGTGATTGTTTCGTTTTCCGTTCACCTCTCACAATTATGGTCATTAGTTTTGTTATACCCTGCATTGGTTTGTATCCATTGTTATTTCAAAAGTTGTATGTTGTAAGTTATAATTAAAGAGTACTTAGTCACTGGAAGTATTAATACCATTTGTCGAAGCATCATCGTTAAGAACTCCGTTTTCAAAAGAGTCAGTGGATCCATCAAATAATAGTTTATACATCAGAGCCTGTCCCCCTGCCGTACCTATAGTACGTGGAGCCCTCGGGATCCTTTACTAAGGGCTGCACCAGGGGGGCCTCATGTCAGGAGGCAAATCCTTTAGAGGGACTGGAAGAAGAGAATCCGGGCATGGGCATGAAAGGTAGACCATTTTCTTGGTGCGGCGTTGAATTACCAGCGTTATCTTCATCACGCTTCATAGGTTTCGTAGAACCTCCGCAGAAAATTGCAAACTTGAATTCTCGGCAAAGTTGTGCACAAATTGACTCCTGAAATGCAAATATTTTAATCGATACTGATTTATTAAAATATGGAACTAGGAAACAGTCAAATGAAGACACTGATACCAAATGTTTGATAAAGGATGATTTGCATTTTCACTAGTTAGTAGAATTAATTACCTATTATTACCTCATATCTACGCTGATTCCACTGCAATTTGACGACGTGGAAAATATTAATGTATTAACTTTTATCCGAAACAATTTCAAAATATTTCCCCTGCTATATTTTTGATTCAGTCGAAATAAATGCAAGGGAAGACCCAAGTCACCGAATGAGAAGATTAGATTTAAAATCATAAAACAATACAATTTTAATTATTTTTTAATTATTTTGGTGTTTAGATGTAATAAGATATGATCGATATAAAGATAATTACGATAGGAATATATGAACCGTGTTGTGAAAAGTATGCTCTCCACTGATTTCACTTAATTTTTAGTGTCAATGAGAAGCTATTTTCCTTCTTGAGACCTGTGCAGTATCTTTTGATAACTCCAGAAAATATATAAAAATTGCCAATGAAAGGTATTGTTTACATAATTTTTTTTTTAATAACTGTAAAAGTTGGCGTAGGGTCATGAGGAGAGGCCAACACTAGGGAGTTATTATTTTAGTGACTTATAAGAAATGATTGTTTAATAGATAATTTTTATTGTGTTTATTTCTAATTACGAATGCAGAATTTACAAGTTTGGTTAATTTCAATCGCAGAAGTTCAAGTATACGGCTAAGTCTTTACAGTGGGTAACATTTTAAAAATTCCTTACCACTTTTCCACCAAAACATGATCGTAAAATTTAATTAATATTAAGTATTTAGCTAAATGTATTTCATTTTAATATTATGAGAAAATATTATGAGTAAATAATGACCCTGTATTATTTATTTATTAAAATGACCCTGTATCATTTTAATATGTTCGACTTCTCAGTTAATAATATGACACGAACGACTTAATTTTGAAAAATAAATGCAATGCTGAGAATGAAAAAATTAAGTTATAATAGCTCTTAATCTTTTTGAAAAAAGGATTTGTTCCCAAAACAAGAACACCGAAACCAAATAGTAAAACAAACGATATCTCGCTTTAATTTGTTGTAATAAATTTAAAATTTTTCTAAATGTACTTCTCAATATCTCATATCATCTCACCTTGTGAACCCAAGTAATATTTTTTTGATGGTTTTCCATTGTTGGACCAACATAATCTTGATGGTAACCATCAATAATTCCATCATAATCAATTATATTTTTTGACGGTAACCAACATAAGTAACTATCACCCCAATGTTGGAATTTGGACTGATTTATGATGGTTCAAGATAAGAATAGTAACTTGTTTTGATGGCTTGTTCATGTTAAACCAACAGAAATTTCAATATAGTTTCTCGGAAATCAAATGTTGGAACGATCATGAACAACCATCATCCCAATGTAGGAATTCTGATTAATTTATGATAGGCCAACATAAAAAAACTCAAATTGTTTTGGTGTGGTATATACCTGAGAACCAACAAGAATTTCCATTAAACCATCATGAAAAAGTACAGTTCGAAACATCATTGACCATCACGGATTATCATGGATTGTTAGTCCATGAGAATCAAACTTCCCTGGATGGTTAACCATCATAGTATAATTGATATAGATGGTTATAGTACAGTTGATATGATATAGTATAGTTGATATGATATAGATGGTTAACCATCATAGATGGTTAACCATCATTAACCATCATAAGTAGCATTTTCCACCATGGAATGATGGAAGTTTGCTGGCATATCAAAAACCATGAACGCATTATGGAAAATGTTGGATGATGGTGACCATCAAATGATGTTTAACCATCATGAATAGCACTGAAACCTAAAAAAAACCATCAAAATGATTTGATGGGACCATCGAGAATTTTGACTTGGGTAGTATAATTTTATATTTTAATTTTAATGTTGTACTAATTTCTAAAATACCACAAAAGAAACTGTAAAACACAGATCGTATGAAATTAGTTATTTGAAGCGAGTGAGAAAATTCAGACGTTTATCTTACCCTCTCTTCACTGACGACTTTTCTGGCTTTCCATATAAACTCGAACACAACTATGATGCATCCAACGGAGACTCCGCATATAAGAACCAAAAAGACGCCACCAACGTTCGCCAGCCCCAATTCTGAAGCTGAGCTCGAGCCAGTGGCGTCATCTTTAGCACACTTTTGAGTAAGCCTCTTCCTTTTCCACCAACGTTCTTTGAGGACATGCAGCTGACCTCCTTCCTGAAGTTTCAGGATAGCTGAAGACAAGTGAGTCCGATAAGGAGATCCTAATAAATATAAATTTTATTACTTTACTCGTTTAATCAGCATCAAGAAATTATTACTTAATTCATAGTTTTAATGTTGCTTTTAATTCGATCCAAAACAAAGTAATTTTTTTGAAAAAATAGTGCGTAAAGTCCCTCCGCGCGGAAGAAGTGAAACTTCGTAATGTGGACACTTGGATCAGTCTGCGTAGGGACCGAGGGTGTGCGGTATTGGTCCTCGTTAAACTGTGCTACCGTAAAGTGCTCGACTTCGCGCGCAGGTCGTCGGGCTACCGAAGCGGGGGTGCCATCCCTTCCGCAGAGGATCAAAATTGTGATGGCATGTCTTCGGATCATCCTCCGGGATGTTTCCCAGACCGTCGCCAATAGCCCATTGTGCAGCTCTAGTGCGACGTAAAGTAACAACAACAACAATGTGGAAATAAAAAACGAGCGATTAATACTCACTTGGGCCGGATCACGCTATTGGTCGAAAATTACATCACTGGGGGAAGGGAGATGGTGGCCATTGGCTAGTGTTTGCATGATTTTGGCGACAAATTTTGCATTCACACGTGCTTCGGATTTTATTTCCTCCTAGTAAATTTTTACGTAATATTATATGTCGTCGTTAGGGTGGGAGAGATAGGTAAATGTCCTCTTCATTATTTCAGACAATATTTTTGTTTTAATTGATAGAAATTCATGAAAGCTAAAAACATGATAAACAAAAATAATGAATGTTTTGCAAATATAAGATGGTATAGCAATATTACAAATAAGTTGTTTTTATTATTGCTTTTCCTTGAGAATTATCTTTTACAGTTATAAAGTAACGAAGTTGAAATAAATATAAGCTCAAATTTACTGATACATCGTTATTTAGTTGTGTTATGAATAATTTTAAAAACTTCATAATCAAACAACATGTAAATTTAGTTTAAAGTCAAATAACATAATTAAACAACATGTTAGTTAAGTAAATTCATTTCAAACTTCCAGTTTTTAAGTCAGCTTTATGATTCGTATAAATTTTTATTTCGTTTAAATATTTTTTCGCAATATTCGCAAATCACCTGATTTATAATTAATAATAACAAGAAACATTAATAAATAAAAACAAGAAAACATTATAGATAAAGCAAGAAACATTAATACCACGTGTAAACAGAGTGCGTTTGAAAACTAGATTTAAAATCTGTAGCCAAATCAAGATCTGTCGCCAATTTACTATGCAGTACACAGCATGTCCATTCCCCCAAACAGTGATGTCATCTTCGACCAATAACGTGATCAGGCCGAAGTGAGGATTAATCGCTCGTAATAAAAATAGGAAGGGATAGAAATTGATTTTTAGTGAAATCATATTGTTTCTTTAAGACAAACTTTATTAACATTGCTTACAATTCGCAATTGATCGCATCTTTCACTTATCATTTTCGAGTGGAGAAATATCCAAATCTGTAACATTTACAATGGGATTATGATAACTAAAGTAAAATACGAAATGTTTGAGTTCAGGGCTCGAAAAACAGCCCGTCCGCCCGTCCTCGACGGCCAAAAATTCTCCGCGGACAACGAGTTTCTCGAATCCGACGTCCGCGCGGACGGCCACTTTCCCGTTAATGCTCGTGATACATTTTCAATTTTTGTTATCTTACAAGAGTCTTGTAAGTTACAAGGCAGCAAAATGACCCACAATACAGCAACATACTGCGCATATATTGATGTTTTCTCTGTCTGGGAGTACTGCAGCGGTTGAAAGGGGCTTTGCAGCAATAAACTTACAAAAAAACACAATACGTACTTGTCTTAAACAAGAAGCTTTAAAAGCACTTATGAACATCTGCCTAAATGGAAAACCCCTTTCAGATTTCTGTTCAGAAACCTCTGTAAATCATTGGCTTGATTGTGGAACTGGCAAACGTCATATTTGATTCATTTAAAAAACGCAGTACCCTCGGATAACTTGACATTCCAGATAACTTGACCCTTGTCACTTAAATTATTTCATAAAAGAAATACTAGGTTACTATTAATAACCTAGTATTTCTTTTATTACTATATAATGTAATCCTAGTAACGACTAATTCATTGTGTAATTTATATAAATGTTTGTTATAAATAGGAGAAAATTATATTTTTATTTATTTAAAAGCGACGGGTTAGTTTCAACGGAGGACGGGTGCATTGTTGGACAAGCCGTCCTCGGGGACGGGTAAAATTTCTGAGTTTTTTCGAGCCCTGTTTGAGTTCTATTTTTTTAATATTTCTTGCAAAAACTGCATCAATGGTAGTTACCCCTTTGGTTGTTGGATCATTCCTACCATTTATCATTTCCAATCCAAATTTGTCTTTAAGGAAGGTTAATAATGTTTCAGCTTCAGGTAACGAGAAATTCACATTAAAATCTCTGCAAGGATCACAGGCCGCTCGTTGCCATGGTACCGTTAAGCGTTTAACGCAACCTTGTTGGAAGTCGCATTAGAAGTTTCACTTCAAAAAATGTTTTGCACAGATATATTAATTTTCGATTACAAATTGATTTTTGCAAGATCTTTTGTTGCTCCAACCGTTTGTTATACACCTTGCATGCGCAAAATCAGTTTTATCAAACTTGACCTACGGTACTCTCTGTAATAAATTTATTTTGTCAAATTACAAACTGTGCTGTTTAATTTTCTGTAAAATAAGTTTTATTTTCATTTTTCTTCTTGTTTCTACACTTCACCGATCTACTCCTCCTGGATCACTTTAACAATTTATTAAAGTATGGGAAAAATATTAAATAAAAAACCCATGGAAACACTATTTCAAATAGCTTTAATTATTGTAATATGGATCATTTTTATTTTAATATCAGATATCGTATCAGACAAGTTCCACCTTTTAAAAAATTTAGGAACAAAGTAAAGTAAAAAGTACCGGCACTCAGAGTTTCGGTAGTTTTTGTTCCGATATAAAATATCTGATATATGCAATTTTTACAGTTATATTTCCCGTAAAAGCACTGAATCACTTTTATTAAACGGTAATTATTCACTTTTATTAAACGTTAAAAATTATGGCAATATATTTTACGGTAAAAATGGATTTTACAAAAAAATGCATCTTATTAATGATGTATCCAAAATGGTGTCGGTAGTTTTTGTTCCGATATAAAATATCTGATATATGTAATTTTTACAGTTATATTTCCCGTAAAAGCACTGAATCACTTTTATTGGTTGGTTGGTGTCGTATCCTCTATTGAATCATATTTCATGGTGTGCTTGAATAGTTTTTGTTATTTCTATGGCATTAAAAGAATACAAATCCTCTTCTGTGGGGTAGTTTAAGAGGTGAAGGCCTGCAACGACTGCAGGGCAGTTAAAGACATGATATGGTGTCAGTTCCACATTAAGACAGTTGCCACAGTTTTGATATTTTCTAGTCCCATCTGTAGAAATTTTCATGTTTTTATGATGTTTTGTTCTTAGTCTGATCAGAGTAGTGGCTGTCTTTCTATCAATGTCAAGATTAGTTATTTGATCGTGGGCTTTGATTTTTAAAGGGGTGAATAGTCTTGACTTAGCAAAAGCATTTGCATCTGCCAACATCACTTTTATTAAACGGTAAAAATTACGGTATTATATTTCACGGTAGAAATGGATTTTACAAAAAAAATGTATCTTATTAATGATGTATCCAAAATGGTAATATGATTAGGGTAATTTGGCTACAATGGCTACAAATTTAGCTACAAAATTTGGCTACAAATTTAGCTACAATGAATTTCCACAGAATAAAAAAAGGAAACAAACATTTTAAATCAAAGCATCAAATATTTACAGAGACAAAGGATAGAACATGCTTTTAAAAGTGTATTGGGCTATTTCTTTTCATTTAAAATATGATTTGAATATTTTACTCACCATGAGGCGTTGCGATCCCATAACCTTTGGAATCAAGTAGACCTCCCACTTGTGTCAGTTCACAGTTCCTTTCGATGATATATTCGATGGTAGTGGATTCCATGAGAAAAGCATAGTTGCCTTTCTTTACTCTTTCTACACCTTTCTGATTGTTATCACTAAATACCGATGGACGTTGTGATTCCATGAAAGACCACATACGTTTATAAGTAGGAAACTCGGACTCCTGAAAAACATGAAATAAAGCACTGTTAGATAGCGTCTGGTGAGATAAAAATGATATGCTATTATATGTATCATCACTTTTTCATGGCAAGGGATTTGTACGATTAAATAGCTATTAAAAAAACTATTAAGAGAACAATAAAAACGATGATAAAACAGAATTGTCCGAAGTCATTGCCTTAAAAGTTCTGTGGCCTGCAATTAAAACGTAGTTTTATCGCCTTTTATTTGAATTGAAGGGCTTGGCAATCATGCTAATGTAGTTCTTCCGTGGTATGATGTCATTTGAGAAAAATTTCTGCATGTATTATCAGTGTAACATTAATTTCACAACTACGAATCAGAAAAAAACTGCGCCTCAAAAAGTACCAATAATGTGGGAGTCTGAAATATTTTTGATTGTTTGAATCTCTTGTAAAAATTCACAACATAATCCAGAATTAAACTTTGCAAGCATAGAAATAAACTCAACGGAAATAAATACAAACTTATTTCATGTTTTTAATCATTGTTAAAAATTTATTCCTTTTTGACCCTGTTCTGTTGTATTTTTTTGTATGTTCTATATGTATAAACCAAGTACGAAGAAGGTTTGTTGCCCATTTTATCTTATAATACCTTTCTTGAATACTGTAGTTCGTATAATGGAGTAATTTCAACACTTTTCTATTATAAAAGCATAAAAAATTACACATTCTAGTGTTTGCACGTTTTTTTCAAGAACATTTTTTATAATTTTAGCCAGTAAGATCCGAGACTGTTACATAACAGAATATAGTTGGAATTTCAGTCAAACATCCATTTTCCTCGTAGTTTCATCAATTTCGTTTTTTATGTATTCCAACCACGTACTTTTCAATAACTTACCGCATACCATTTCCGCATAAAATAGATTTTTTTAAACTTTTAAAAGCATATGTGAGCTATTTCAGATCACGGTCAAAAACAGAAAATATAGAAAAAAATAATTTTGAATAAGGAAAGAGAAAAATGGTGTCATATTATTTATAATATTACTAACGTGTTCGAAAATTATTTTTGCGAAAGATTTTCTACCAACTTAATTTACATATTCTATTATTTTAGGCTACACTGGATTATTTTTTTATTGTTTACGGTGTAAATTTTTTATTATTGAGGTTGAGGTTTCTAGAGATTGTTGAAGTTTCTAGTTTCTTATTGATATCAAATACCGAAAAACCAAAAGATTGCGTGTTTTCTCGTATTATTCTACGAAAAAATTAATTTTGTTAAAGATTTTAAGTCAACTCAAATTACGTATATATTTATAACAAATCTGAATCATATATATAAAAATATAATATTATATTTATAAAATATAATAAATTTGTTTTTTTTCCTCCATAAAATTAATCAAAAAAATCTGCTTTTCCTAATAAAATTACCACAATCGATAGGTCAATGAACTCTACCGAGATCAGCAGCTGATACGCAGCAACGTCGGTGACGGCAAACTGCTGATAAAACATCAAAAACAGGTGGGGAATTTGCTCCTTTCTGTTTTCTGGTCAGCAGTTGCAGGACTCAAATGTGATGATCGTCTGACAGCCTGTACTGCCAATTCGATTACACGCCAGCTATTCACTTTGTATAAGTGGCGTGACAATGTAAGTACGGGTACCTGGCATATCAGCTGATGGTGTGAGGCTGATTTCCGAAGGTTCCGTTGTAATATTAAATGCTTTTTTGCGAATAATATGCTATTTTTATACTATGAATTTGCAACTGTTACTCAAGACTATTAGGTCAACTGTCTACGCTTATTTTGAAAATGGTGCAAAACGTCACTATGGAGAAAAGTCACAGTTTTGTGAAAGTGCAAAGCGTTTGTGGTCTAATTTTTTAATACTTAAAATCTTACTCTAATGATGCATTATTGGGCTCGTTAAAATTTACAAATACTTAGAATAAGACAGTGATGTTGATAATTCTTATCTTGGTGAAAAAATGTCGCCAAATTGGTGATTTTCAAAAAAGTTTAATAACTTTTAAAATATTTAAGTTATTTGTCCATTCTAAAGCCCAGATGATTTTAAACTATAGGGGAGAGTGGGGTCAATTGTAACAGGGTACGACTGTAACAGAGCAAAACTTTCGAGTGTTCTAGATTTGGTTCCAAGGTGGCGCACAAGGTGTATTTAATAAATCTACATGCACACCCCTGCTGGCAACCATTTTTATGTACTTTTGAAAGAGTTACATCACAAAAGATATTTTCACGCTACGCAAATACTTTTTTTTGGTATTAGAATATTATATAGTAACAAAGTAATTTTGTTTAAACAAATAAAAATTATTAACCGAATATGTAAGTGGACACCTTAATTAACATTTCAATAAAAAAAATTAGTTTTGTTAATTAACTAGCATTGTTTTTAACAAATGAAGCTGAAATGGCGTCTTGGGGACGATTGTAACAATAAGTAAAGGGACGATTGTAACAGCTGAAAATAAATAATCTTATGTTTACAAACCATTACTTAACTCTTTAAGAACCACCAATAGTTTCCTATATCATTTATATTATGTTGCATGTGCATTATTTTATTTGTCACCTTTCACAGCATAAATTAAAATTTTTAACCCCTTAAAGTTAAAAGTTTAACCCTTTAGGTCTCTGCTCATTATTATTTTTACTCCTAAAATATCACTACTATTTTGATCAATAAAAAAATATATCACAACTATGATAATATGTATAATTAACTATGTTTTAGTTGAATTTATGAACTGTTACAATTGACCCCGTAAGTGGGGACAATTGTAACAAGTGCACGACTGTCAAAAATTGTTAATAACTAATATAATAACATTTAAAATAAGGTATTTATTTTTTTTTCTAGTAGAGGATAGTCTACTTTACTCGTCTGTCAATTAATACTAATAATATATTGGATTTTTTGTTAGTTAAAAATAGTTAAGTAAAAAATGTTACAATTGACCCCACTCTCCCCTTCATACCACTTCTCAGCAAACTGGTATGTATAGTTTAAAATCATCGTATTACTTCGAGTGTAAGACACGTAAACTGTGGCTTTTTTTATTTTTCTTGATGTCAGACAACGTTTAACAACGTTAAGACCATTCTTGATGGGTGTGATTTTTTTCACAAGCGAATGAGAATCACACTGGTGGTGAAAATCTCGCCAATCAGGTTTTCATTCGCATGCGATATTTCCCATGCGCAAAAATCACATCCCGTCACTTAACAGCAAATTTATGATGCTGGATCTGCAGATTTGGAACGTTTATATAACAGCCTATGCAAAAGGAAATAGAATTAATTACCTTGAAAAATGACTGAGTTGAACCAGATGCTACACATCCATATGGAATAGTGGTTTGTTTGGCGAGATCCTCAGCACTTTCGATAGGTGAGGCCAATCTCTCTACGGTTAAGAACGCTGCCAAATTCGCTGTGTAAGATGATACCATGATTAATGTGAAGAACCACCACATGACGGCAATCATTCTCGTTGAGTTTGCCCTAAGTATATTTGGATCTCATTGATATATTGTTATAAAATATATAAAAACAATAATTGTGTGCGTATCAATGCTGTAAAATATTTCTAATAACAATTTCTAATAATTAAATAATGTTTAAAATAGTTAAAGATTAATGATTATAATTTTTACGATTGATATTTATCGTTGTGACACACATAACAAACTGTTTTTTAAATACAACTGATTACTTAATCTACCTGGATTATCACGTTAGGGTTATAGAGACTGAGACATGTTAAGATCTAATTCGACCTCTAGTACAATCACCTTAATCTTTTATAAAATACACACATCATATGTTCGCAATTTCACTAGATGGCGCCACAAAATTTATTATTTAATTTGCAACTTAAGGGCTTAGGAGCTATTCGCACTGCTTGGGAAAAAAAATGAGAATTTGGATATGCGATCGAGCACCTGATTTGCGTGTTTTTTTTTTTGCTGGTAAATTTTAACCAATAAGGTATTAGCATCTCCTAACTCTCTCATGAATCTTTAGCATACAATGTGAATTAATTCCCTTAAATGAATTTCTTCTCAATAGATGGAAGAGTCTCGCGTTAGGCTCCATTTACTAGTAACTATAATCCAACTTTACATTTTTAAAATATAAACTTTTATTTGACACAATGCAATTAATAGTCCTTGCAACCTACAGAATTATATCATTTCAACAACGCATAGTAGAGTAAATTATTCGCAAACGTTGCAGGTACCGTGGAGCAACGCTTCTTCATTGCAGAATCTCTTCAGATGGAGATCCCATTGCGATAACGCCAGTTCTCTTTCCATATATAAAATGATGTTAAGGGTGTTTATAAATTTTTCCACATAAAAAAGCATTGAGCATATATGGCATGTATTTAATTAATTTTAAGGCTTATTCTGCAACTCCAAAGCAGGGAAAGGCTGTTTCCAAAAGTTTCTTCAATTCCCAGCTCCAAAAATTCGAGAAATATCCGTGGTCACAATCCTCAAACGGTTGGCCTCAATTTCATGTAATGACAGTGTTAAAAATTAATTATGATTGTCATTATAAGCATCATGTCTGGGTCAATTTACTCTAAGATTAACTGTCAATAATCGTTGAGTAATATGAGTGTATTATTAATTAGTCATGCTTCAAATGTTCCCTGACTGACTAAATCGTATTTATAAGGTCATACTTATATATTTTAGCTAGACTTATATATGTAATTAAATTGGTCAGATTTATCAGTTTAATTAACTAAGTCAGATTTAAGTTTCGGTGACTGTCAGATTTATCAGTACGATTGACTGAATTAGACTTATCAATTCAATTGCCTGTATCAGATTTATCAGCATGATTGATTGAATCGGAATTATGAATTTAATTAAATGAGTCAGATTTAGCAGTTCAAATAATGGAACAAGATTTACTTACCTTGGCGTGATATCACAGCCTTGACACATAAGACAACCTATTGTAAACCAGAGGGTATTTAATAGAGTAAACTGATTTTCTAATTCTTCTGGTTCTAATTCACATGGATGAGGATTCACCCATTCATAGGCACTGAATCGAGCCACAATAAATAAGAAGAGAGACACGCCTGAAATTAGAATTACAATGTCACTCTTAATATTAATGAATTAAAATAGTAAATGAAGAACTATTTTCATAAAATAGTGGGCTGCGCCCCCTGCTCGCTAACGCTCGCCAACCCCCGAAAATTGCTACGCAATCTTATATGGTTTGCTTCGCAAACCAAGCTCGCTTCACTCGTTACTAACTTAGGTACATTGCAAATGCACAAAATTCTAAGAATTCAAAACAATCATTCAAATCCATATAAAAACTTTTTTAAAAAAAAATTACATCTTTTTAGTAAATACTAAGTCATTAAAATAAATTTGAATTCAAATAAATGACATGTAATTCGTCAAATCTATTAGAAATGTGCTATAGTATAATTCGTAATATAAATCAAAAATCGTCAAATAAATTCGTAATATATAAATTCGTGAAAAAAAGCGCTTTCGACAAAATAATAAAATAGAGATCTATCGACAAAGACTACTCACTTTTGCCTAGCTTAATAGTATGAAATTTCCGCAGCTGATGCTCTCTGGTCATTTCATTTTCTGTTTTTAAAAGCGCTATATGTTGAGCCACCTCAGCTAGATTTGGCATGTGACATTTTTAGCGGCAATCATTGGTCGATTTGCCATGTAAGAGAAATAGTAACGTAAACAAAACAAAGCAAACGTTGCCACCGGTGGTAAAGAAATACAGCCAAAATTTGGGAGCCTAAATTCGTGAGAAAAAGCGCTTTCGAAAAAATACTAAAATAGAGATCTATCGACAAAGACTACTCTTTTCTACCTAGCTTAATAGTATGATATTTCCGCAGCTGATGCTCTCTGGTTAGTTCATTTTCTGCTTTTAAAAGCGCTATATGTTGAGCCACCTCACTAGATTTGGCATGTGACATTTTTAGCGGCAATAATTGGTCGATTTGCCGTGTAAGAGAAATAGTGACGTAAACAAGACAAAGCAAACGATGCCACCGGCGGAAAAGAAATACAGCCGAAATTAGGGAGCCACGTAAGAGAATTATATATTTTAGATATTGTGTGTACAGTGTCTATAATTGGTTTCAATTTGTAGTGATAAAAAATCCTTTATTAAGATCCCCCTATTGCAATAGTTTGACTGTAAGCGGGAGTCCTTGTATCTTAACTTCAGAGAGTCACGTCATACGGCTTTTAATATGTGAATAGAGGTAACAAAAATCTATCAAACGAAAAAAATTCTCAAATAGAGAAGGTCATTGACAAAGTATCGTTATTCCATGGAATCTTAAAATCATGAATATGAAATTCTTGTTTTACATTAAAAGTTATTTCGAAAAAAGAATTCTAAAATAAATTCTTAAAGTTTCTTTTTAATAATTTATCAGCTGCGTCAGTTTATCTACACTTTGCGTAATTTTGGTCTTGTTTGGGGTGTCATTCGGCTGGTAAAAAAATTTTTTTTTGAAAAATTAGTTTAATTATTTAACATTATTTATTTCAAAAATTGTTGCTCTTTTGTATTACTTAGCAAAATATATAAACTAAAAGTGAAGACTAATATTGCAGTGTTTTAAATTTTTTTTACAAATACAATAGCAGTGTTTTATTGCAATTAAACATTTTTTGGAAGATATTTATTTATATCTCTATTTAAATCTGGATCTATTTATATACTCGTTCTATATAATTGCAGGATCTATTTAGATACATTTCTTAAATTTACTGGCACAAATTTATGAAAATATTATGTTGTGACTAACTAGAATGTGCTAAAATATTTTTTTCATGAGTTTTACTCAGTAATAAAGGAAGACAGATTTGTAATGAATAATTAAAAAATAAAATTAAAACATTTCTTATTAATAACTAATAAAAATACAGTAATTTTTGGATACGGGCTGATATATATTCTTATTTAAAAATGAAAAAAACAACATTATTTTTTTAAGTTATTAAATCATTGAAAAGAAATATAAATAATTTAGTGATTTTTTATAGACACGTAAATTATTTCACGATTATATCGGCCTCTTTTCCTACTTTGGATTTTTTTATATCATCGATTCTTGCAATTACAATAAACAACAAATTTGGTATTAAAATATAGCTAACTATCTGTTAATAAATGAAGGCATTTTTTTAAACGTTAATTACTGTTGCATCTCATTCACTTATTTTTGAAAAAATTCTTTGCATTAAAAAACGTTTAGTAATTTTTGTAATTCTCTTCCTTACATGTTGAGGCTAAATTTTATTTTACTAAAATAGTGAGATATTTGGAAAGGCGAATAAAAAGAATTTTAAAACAGAATAAAAAATAAAAACATTGTTTATTGTTTTAGTATATTTAGATTTATATAAATGCTCTTTACAAATAATACGAATTTAAGAATAATTTGTTTAATGAGAATGTTTATTGTCAAAAATATTTATTAAATTCTTTAAAAAAAAAGCCTTTATTTTAACAAACTGGTTTCGATAAATTTCCTTTCTTTAAATTCAATGAATAGAAACAACAGAAATTGAAATTCAGTCTTTGAGAAATCCTAAGTTTAAAATTCAATATTTGGAATCTCAAATAATTTCTTACCACAATCAATCCTCGCCCTTTTAATATCTTTTGTAAAAATGTAGGATTTTATTTTTCGAGGAAAAATTTTACGGAAATGAACAGTTGAAATAAGCAAATATAGTGCTTGTTTCTAAATCATATTCGCAAAAAAAATTTAAAGACCTTTTTTCTTCCAATAGAAAAGAAAAAAAAGAAAAGTTAAAATCAAAACATTTATTTTCAGCTCTATTTCTTTTTCGCCATTTATTTTTTTATGTAAAAAATTTAAGTTTTCAGCGAAATTTTACGTCGAAACAGGAATTTGTATTGAACTGCTGGAAATATTTTAGTTTTTTGCTAATTTACATCAAGGAATATTCCTGTAAAAAAAAAAATCTGAAATTAAATAATAACGAATCATTTACTTTCAGTCCTATTTATTTTCGTCTAATTTTTTTTATTTATTTAATAACGAACGGAATATCAGTTGCCAAATTTTGCGTAGATGGAGAAATTTTCAATCAGCTGCTGAAAGCCTTTTTATTGGTGTTTTTTTAAAGGAATATTTAAAAAAAAAAATTTCGATTAATAAAAATTTGTTCTAAAAAATAAAATAATTTCAGCCAATTTTTTTTTCGTAATATTTTTTTTTATTTTCTTCTAACAAATGGGAAATCAGTAGCTAAATTTTACGTAGAAGGAGAAATTTTCAATTAGCTGCTAAAAGCATTTTGATCTATTTTTGTGATGATTTTTTTTAGAGAATATTCTAAGAAAAATGTTTTTTTTTAGATGAATAAAAGTTCGTCCTAAATAAATGACTTGATTTCAGTCCCATTTTTGCTCGTCCTATTTTTTTTAATTATTTAACAACAAATGGAATATCTGTCGCTAAATTTTATGTTGAAGGACAAATTTTCAATTAGTTGCTAAAAGCATTTTGGTTTATTTTTGTTATGATTTTTTTAAAGAATATTCTAAAAAAAAAATGTTTTTTTAGATGAATAAAAATTCGTCCTAAATAAGTGACTTGATTTCAGTCCTATTTTTGCTCGTCCTATTTTTTTTTATTATTTAATAACAAATGGAATATCTGTCGCTAAATTTTACGTAGAAGAAAACATTTTCAATTAGCTGATGAAAGCATTATGGTTTTTTTTTTTCAAAGAATATTCTAAAAAAATGTTTTTTTTAGGTGAATAAAAATTCGTCCTAAATAAATGACTTGATTTCAGTCCTATTTTTGCTCGTCCTATTTTTTTTTATTATTTAATAACAAATGGAATATCTGTCGCTAAATTTTACGTAGAAGAAAAATTTTTCAATTAGCTGATGAAAACATTATGAGTTTTTTTTTTTTCAAAGAATATTCTAAAAAAATATTTTTTTCTTCGGTTAATGAAACTTCGTTCTAAATAAATGACTTAATTTCAGCCCCATTTATTTTCGTCATATTTTTTTTTATTAGGAAAAAATAATGAATATCTGTAGCTATGTATCACGAAGCAACAGCAGGAACTACCAAGCTGCAAAAAACATTCATTTCTAGGCTAATTTCTGAAGAAAATTTCGTGAAATATTTAATTATTTTGAGAATAGAAAATCATTTTGAATGGATCTTTATTTTCAATCCAGTTTTTTTCTTTTTCTTTAAAATAAAAAAGGAATATTAGCAGCTAAATTTTACATATAAATAAGAATTCACTAAAGATTGCAAAAAGCATTCCAGTCTTTTTTGTAAATTTATTTTCAAAGTATATTCCAATAAAAATCGTTTAACTAGAAAAACATTCTAAGCAGATGATTTATTTTTAGTATAATTTATTGATTTAGCAGATAATTTATTTCCCTTTCCTTCTTCCACAGATTTAATTTTCACAGCGATGCTTGCTTTTTTTAAAAAAAGGAACTTTTCATAGGAATTTTATGATTTATTTGGCGAGTTAAGAGAGTACTCACCCAAAAAGGCAGTAGCCATATAGAGCCATACCTCGATGGAGAGTGGAGAGAGAAATGAAAATAATTTTGGTACTTTTTTTGTTGGCTTCTTGAACAAAATAGAAATGCCTAAATTCATGAAGGGCATAGTGAAATCAACTGCTTCTTCCCTTACGTATGTTATAGTGAGATCGGCAATAGCCATGTCTGCCTTCTACAAAAAAAAAATTAAACACATAATGGCTATATTCTGGAATAGTGTTAGTAATTATAACATTAAACAAAACTCATAATAACAGAAATTCTAATGTGTTATCTTAATATTAACAATTATTTCAACAAGAGAATACTACTTTTTTGCAAAAATATGAATTTTAAATTTACATATCCCTCATTCCATCAAATTATAACATAACAATAGCGTTAAATATATCCCGCTCTTAAATCATTTAATGATGGAAGAAAGCTGGCTGTTGACAAAATTAATAAAAATCTATAACACTTTGAAATACGTAACATATTAGAACAAATAATTAAAACAATGAGTCCTTAAATAAAAAAAAATATTACTTAGATTTTTCTATTGTTAATAGTGTATGTACTTCGTGATATTTGCGAAATATCAAGAAGGAAAAATACATATGTTAATTCTTTCAAAGTTCGTAGCAAAAATTGTTCCATTTTATTACAATTTGGTAATGATTCGAAATTTATTAATGCAAATAATTAATTTTTAACTAATTATTTATTGTATAATTTGTTGTATTGAAATTGTAACTAATTATTTATTGTATAATTAATTCTATTAAAATTGAAACTAATTATCACAAAATTTACTTGCTTTCAATATATAAAACTGCCTAAATGACCATGCTTTTTTTCTTCTTTTTTATAAACCAAAATTTAATATATAATAACATTATTGTATATTATGATTTGGTTCATAGAAAAGTCAACAAAACATGGTCATTTATGCAGTTTGAAATATTAAACCAGTTAGATTTTTTTTTTTATTCTCAAGAAATAAAAGTGGTCTAATTATAGAATTGCAGTAATTTTTTGTAACATTTTAACACACTGCTAACCTTTGAAAACTTTTTTTTTTAATAATTTCTCGCAAATATAAGACATTTGTTAGAGTAATTTCAGATTGTAGAATAATTTTATACCATTTTTTTTATTGTTCCTAATAGCATCAATGTCAAATTCGTGCATATTTCCTCTCTGTTGTGGAACTAACAATTGATACTTATGTGCAATTAAAATCTTTTATTGTTGTCAACTCAACGATACAATGGTGGATATAAAAGCTGTATTACATAGATAAACTAATATTTTGTGATAACCCTTTATTTTAAACACGTAAAATTAGTAAAGATGTTGAAAGTTGAGATATGGGATCATTCCACGTTCCTATTGTGCTACAAAAGGGAAATGCTGCCATTCGTCTTGTTCTTCAAGTAATTGAAGAATGGTTGCGCATCTTCAATTGACGCAAAAGAAAAAAAAATGCGAAGCAGTTCTCTTAACTAAAGAAGAAATGCTCTACACACGTGATTGCTAAAAAATGGCTGCATTCAATCACTAGTTTCGAAAAGGAATATATTAGAGCGTGAAAAAGGTATAGTAAGGAGAAAAGGTTGAATGAAGTCAAAAAAGCGTTAGAACAACTCTATCTAGATCTATAACCTGAAAAGCAGTAAAGGAGAAGCAGCCATTCATCTCCTGCTTCAAATAACGCAATATTAGCTCCATATTTTCAATTGATGGAAAGGTAGGAATGATTAGCTGTTGGCACAGCTGCAAAAGTGATTGCTAAAAAAATGGTTGTAATCAATCGGCAGTCTCATGCCGCATTTAGCATTACATATTTCCTAACTTTTAAAATGTCTTTTATTACTTAAACTTATTTTATTAATCGAATTATATATAAATTAAATCAATAAGTTAATCTTTTCAGCGGACATAAAATGTTTCATTCTTTTCTTATCGATCAATGTAACGGCTATCTTTTTATTTCAATACTAATATAGACTCATTAATTCACAGCCGTGCCTAATCGAAAACAATAATCTATTTATAACTTTTTATTCTTGAATTCTTACCACAAATATATTTCAGTTACATGGTTGTAATAATTCCCACAGTTTTGCTGGCGACTCGCGATCGCCAAAGTTTTTTTTAAACCCAATATTGATTATGCGGGGTTGGCTTTGTTTCGGCTATGTTATATTTTGATAAATCACCAATTTTGGATCTCCTATTCATTCTTCTCCTGGATCCGTTGAAAACAATTGCATTGACTTTCAATTTCAAATAAGTGGTGACTGGGAGTGCCCCTTGGGCACTCCCAGTCCCAGCAGTCATAACCGTTTAAAAAATATCATTTTTAATAAGAATGCTAACTTGAACTCTCAAGGTAGAGAATATGTTATCTTGATCCCCTTAAGGGATTTCTTTTTATCATTTGTATTTTATATATGGCCAATTTGAAATAACATATTATTTACCACTAAATAAAATTTTTACTTAAAAGATGTTATTCATTTCCTGGAGAACAAATAGCCACTATATGGTATTAACCACTATTGACGATCACCTTCACGGTTGGCAGTTTTGAGAGTGATTATATTAAAGCGTGTAAAAGGTGGTGATTGGAGGAAGGGTAGAATCAGGCCGGAATCGGGTTAGCACAACAACCCTACTAGAACCATATCCTAAAAAGCAGTAAAGGAGAAACAGAATATCGTCTCCTCCATCAAACAACTAAAGATTAGCACCATATTTTCAATTGAAGCGAGGGAAAAATTGTGTAGCAGTTGCTTTAGCTGTAGAAGCTAAATCAACGCGCCTGATTGTTTCGATCAATCATCAGTTTCGCGAGTGATTATATTAGAGGGAATATTTTTGAGCCAAGGAAACATAACTGATTAAGTAGCATTTTTGAATGTACTTTGAATAGTAGTGAATAAGAATATGATATGCTCTCTTGTAAATTTAGAGCACTGATTTTGTTTTTTGCTACTTTTTTTTATTTTGAATGCTATGTTTTAAAAATATTTTGCAAACTGTTCTTTGGTGAACAAAATAATAAAAAAAAAATCAATAATTAATGCTCTGATAAGAAAATCGTCAAATATTTAATTTTCCCAAATGCTCTTTCTTATGTTCTGCAAAAATTATAATTTAATTAATGAAGTCAATGAAAAAATTATTGGTTTTCTATTTTATAACTTTATTTATTTAATCATTTAGAAGATTTCAAATAGATTTGAATATTATAAAAAACTTGTAGAAGAGCTGCTGAATATTAACATTCTTCTTAAGTGCAGCAAATACAACATAGTGACGATGGTAAATGAATGAATAAAATAGAAAGTATTTGGGTAATAAACCACCAATCATATTCGACAAAAGCAAAGAAAGGCACTAAACAACACGATTTTTCGCCAACAATTAAAGATTGGCACCATATCGCATCTCCATTTAAAGAAAATGAAATATTGCGTAACAGTAGCTTTAGCTATAGAAGGTTGCAACTAATGGTTCTTAACTTTCCATGTTTGCTCATTTTCTAATTTTGGCAAAAAATCGTGTTGTTTGGTTTTGTCGAAAATGGTCGACGGGATTTTACTTAACCAAGTTGAATATTAATATACTTATTTAAGACCAAAATTTCTTTCTATTGCATACCCCATCTATTAGTTCTCGAATCATTCCATTCCATTCTCCAATGTCGTTCTTTCGACCATAGCTGCCATCATCCACTTCCTTGATTTGGTATTGAAATTTCAAATCGTCAGCGATTTCTTGGATCAAATCCACACAAAAGCCTTCATATCTAATCCCGTTCTCGTCCTCTACTTTCATCATGTAGGGTCCATTCTTTAAAAAAAAAAATATGAGAAAAATAAATATTGTGTCATTTTAAATATGTGTTCCTGATGATTGTAATAAACTGGTACATCCCGTACGGGAAAGAATTGACTACTTTTAATTTTATTGCTTCTTCCTTATACGTCCCACCAAAGCTCCCGTAGTAAAACAGTTGAACAGGGAGGTTGTTGCGAACAATTTTTATTTCTTTTTTGAATCAGCTTTTGACATGTATTGAAGATTTACTTCTAAAGGTTTTCCACCATTACACTGAAAATTATTCTTAAGGATTGCATTCAAAAAGCAAATGGAAAAAAAATTCACAATTTTCTTATTGTGCCTGTTTTTAATATAAAATTTAAATATTAAATAAATATTTTTCATTCTCTTAGAAATTAATAAAAGATTATCATAGCTTATATTTAGAGATGCATTAATAGAATCTAAATTAATCTATGAAGGGGAATCGGGGAAAAATATCAGCTCCTAATTTTTTAACTTCTAATGTGTGTACTTTTTAACCTACTTTGGACAACCTATATTAACCTATTTTTATTTTCTAAAATATAAATTGAGTGTGGTAATAACTGATATGGTTAGAGCAGATATACAGTTGTATATTTGTGAACTAAAGTTATAACTAACACAAAGATATATTCAATTATTTTATTTGCTTCAGATTATTTCTAAATAGAAACTTTTTCCTAACTATTTCCGAGTGTCATTTCTAACTTACAAGGGAAACTAGGGAAGTGTGACTCGCCAATTTTGAAATAAACTAGAAGGATGTATGCCTTATGAGGAAAAATTTTAGGGGGCAACATTCGTTTCGGCTCATAGAAGGTCCTGTGAGAGATAAAAAATAATTCAATATATAGAAAAATCGGTATTTTATTACTTCAATGTAGACTATTAGTTATTGTAATTGTCTTATACTCCAATTAATTTTGTGGTACTTTCACGTACTATATAATGCATATTTATTGTCAAAATTGATTTCGAAAATTTTATATATCTGTAGTTTTTCAGAAAAACCTGTTAGGTTAATTTAAAAAAAAAAAATTGACATCAAATTTAATACATAATCAAATTCAAACATAATTTTTTTCTCCAAAAAACTTTCCAAATTAATTGGAGTATGTAATTGAAAATCATTTAATTATTAATAATTAATTAATTTTCTGATTAATTTATTAATTAGCAAATTAATTAATTATCCAATTAATTACAAATTAATTGGATTATGAGACAATTACAATAACTAATAGTCTGCATTGAAGTAATAAAATACCGATTTTTCTATA